GGATAAAAATACATATAAATTGAAATGAGGTTATAACTTTAAACCTAATACAATTTATAATAAAAAAAATTACTAAACACCCTAATTTATATACTACCATTGATCATGCTCTAACCGCGTAGACGAAGGGACCAAGTTGGGACGTAAAATCGGGACCAAGTAAGGATGGACGAGTTTCTTTAGCAGCCAACGTAAAAAAATTGCCGTCTCTTGCTGACTTCATCACGGTTTTACTCAACAGTTTTGCTACTTTTGGACTTAACACAGAAGATTTCGTTGCTCTCATTGGTTAGTATTTTCGAGAAACTCAATATCATTGTAGAAAATATGTCTATGAATAATATATATTGAGGTATTGAATAGATAAGAGTTTTTATTTATTTTGAACTTCTAATTTTTGGGAAATAAACTAGCTAGACTTCCTAAAAACAATATTCTTTAAGTCGATCGTGCAATATTCTACGCAACATATCGTTGCAAATATTCAACGTTAATAGTTTCAAACATATGTTAGTATATCTTTTAAGACTCGAATTTAATTAACGTTAATGTTGTATATTGTTAATAGGAGGGCATTCGATTGGAACCGCGGCATGTAAGTTTATCACGGACAGGATATTCTACACCAACGGAAGCACCATTGATCTGACCATCAACCCGCTATTCTTGGCTCAGCTACCGACTTTATGTCCGTTAAACGGAGACGGTTCGAGCCGCGTGGCTCTAGATAAAGGAAGCGTCTTTGACACTTCCATTTTCAATAACATCCTCAACGGTCGTGCAGTTCTCAAGATGGATCAGATCCTTTTGACCAATCCGAGCACTTACCGTATGTTGCAGGAGTTTAATTGTAACTTTTAAGAGGTTCAACACAATATTTACGAGGGCTATGGTTCGAATGAGTTAAATCGGGGGTGAAAAGAGGGTCAAATGGAGAAATTCGAAGAAAGTGTTCGGCGGTTAATTAAAACGTTTTGATTAATCATTCATTGATTATGTTTTTGTGATGATATATAAGATTAATAATGTGGGTCAAATGATAGATCCGAATGTAACCCCTTTCCAAATTATTTCTCAATGAATAGACTATGCGTTACAGAAACTAAACCATATAATGACTAATGAGTTTGATTTGCTTTTCACTTTTGATATGACTTTTTTTTTTGGTGTGATAGTATGTGAAAAAATGGTTTATCTTATCTGACCCTAAAACAAACTTTTAAACCAATAGAAAGCAAAATATAAAAGATGATAAAACTTGTTTACAATATTCATAAATACACACAAACCAAAGATAATTAACAACAAAATTAATACTAACATACAGCACTGACACGAAGACACGACGAATATGGTATCAATGCAAAAAGTTTGAAAACAAAATCCTCCAATTTAAGGAAAGCGTGTGAAGCAGATCAAATACTCCTTTCTTTCTTCTTCTTATTCAACATTCCTCCAACAAAACAAATTTTTTTGGTAATAAACTTAAATGTTTTGATAATAATATTAAATTAAGAAAGTTGATTAAAGACTAAAATCAAATTAAAAAAAGGAAAGTTCTTTAATTGAGAATCCCATAATTAATCAATGATGCATTACTACACACGGAAACTCATGACGCGTACACGAAAACGACACCGTTTTGAACCGTTACACGAAATCATCGACCCTATATAACAAAGCCTGGCCTTTTCACTTTCTTTCTACCACATTTCTCTCAATCTCTTCTTCTCTTCGACGAGTAAGAAAAAACAAAAAACACAGAACATCAAAACAATGGCCATATTCTCCTTAGCGA